TGTGTGTAGTGTCGTGTAGTCGTGTGTAGTGTGTAGTGTGTGTGTGTGTGTGTGTGTGTGTGTGTGTGTGTCTGTGCATGCAGATGAGTGAAAACATCCAAAGGAGTATTCATTTGTGGCTGTGTGCGTGGATGCAAAACTGCACCGTTTTGCACGTGTATATCTCCTCTCTGTTGTTTTTTCCTTTGACCTTCCCCTGGTGTGTTCCCATTATGCCTCTACTGGTGTATAGATGGACCATCGATTCAGCAACCGGGTACAAATTAAGATTTAAACGTTACGTCACCCAGCTTATTGAGTTTTACATTTAGGGCATTTGCAATATGCAAGACTTATTGATCTACTGAAGTGTGGCTCTTTATACAATCCCCTCTGGCCACCAGCACTTTTTAGTTTCTCTTTTATACCTTTCTTTTAGGCTGGTCCCACTGTGCAGCTTTTTATGTTGTAACATTGTAAAGACTTTCAGTACTCTTTTGATGCTCCATTCTCAATAGATGGACCCATATTTTGTATGTTTTGCAATTGCCCAACTGAGTTTATTGACAGCCTTCAAGCTCCTAACATTTGCATAATCTTCTTTGTCATGGATGTAACATAAGTGCTTTTTGTGTTGCAGGAAAATAGTTCCTCCGAGGAACACGTGCTGTATGTGTGGGACCACTTTGTGTCCCAAGCCAAAGCCAAGAATGTCTTCATCATGGCCCACAGCTACGGGGGGCTGTCTTTCGTTGAGCTGGTGAGTGTTTAGTTTTCCGCTTATCCTTCCTACATCCCACCAACAAAGAGACACACAATGCACTCATGTCAGCACCAAGTCTCTCATACATGATCATTTTGGGTAAATCTGCAAAGTGCAACTGTTATACTGAAATTTGTAATGCTAGTATACAATGAAACTGAAAATGTCAACTCTTATACTAAATGCACACACACATGCAAACAGTGTTATATTCAAACATGCAAGGCAGCACTAGCAGTGATCACCTCAGGGAGACCAGGAGTACAGCAATAGTGTTTGAAACATGGTAGAATGATAATTAAAAAGAAATAGCTTTTAGCTCTATTTGAAAGATAGTACTGCTTCTGTAAACCATCTGGTTCGTCCTTGTCCTTCTGGCAAAATCCACCTCGTCTATGCGTGGAGAACAGGGGAGGGGAGAGGAGAGGGTTGGATAAAGTATGTTGGGTATGGCAATGCAACAACAGTATACTGTTAAACCAGATCTGCTGCAGATCATGCAGATTTCCCAGCCTTAAGAGAGGCAGAGGATAGTTTGAAAGGTGCTGGGAGGAAAGTGGATTGGAAGGAATTAATGTTGCACAGGGTAGGGTGAAAGTAAAAGTTTGGCCAGCCTCTTGGCTTTATAACTGCACCCTTCAGCTAAATGGGCCTACAGTGTGTATTTTGCTGGTTATATGAAGGCTACTGAGGTTAATGCTGTATTTTCTAACCTTTGTTTTACTGTCATCTCCTAGTGGGTTTCTGCTTCACATATTGATCATCACTTTCTATTACTTGTTAGACGCTTTTATCCAAAGCGACTTACATTCTCAATACTGTGGACAATCCCCACAGGAGCAATTTGGGGTGAAGTGTCTTGCCCAGGGACACAACGACATGCTGACTGCAGTGGGGTTTGAACCTGTGACCCCCTGATCCGAACATCAAGGCACTATCCACTGCGCCACACACCTCCTTCTATCTCAGTGTTTTACTGACTAAAGTTAAGCTTCAGTGTGCAGATAACTAATCATAGTTACTTTTCCTTTACCAGGGCGGAATAGCATATGGAGTCATGGTTAATGGTGGGAAGTTTATGTATGTACCTTGCTTGCTCCTAGCTGCTTGATTTATTATCCAATCGAAGTCTAATGTATATACTAATTAATATACAGTATACAGCAATGAGAACTCATGTACTGTGTTAATGTGCTTCAAAAAGGATAAAACCCTTACCCTGGCTTTGAGCACATTTATAGCATAGTATTTAATACCATGTTAAGATCCTATGATCGTGATACAGAAAGTTCAAAGTTGAGGAATTACTCATAAGTAGTCAAGTTTGTAGTAACTGGAATGAGATGTTGAGGGATGCAGAGAGTCGATTAACAAATCACAAAACAAAATCCACATCCATTTTATGCTCATATTCCTATAGAAGATGCATCATTTAAAAAACGAATTTAACTGATTAATGATAGTGCTTGAAATATTAGCATATTTTTTCACTTCAATATAACAAATACAGTAGTTTTCTACAGCTATTTGAAAGAGAGGACAAGAACAACCAAAAGTGCCTTCTGGCAGCTTTCATTGCCCCGCTTATTGTGAACATGCTATGCTAGCTGGTTTAGCATTTAGAATACGAGGAACTGTTTTAAGCTCTGCAAGCTAACATACGGTGCAAGATGCATTTGCAAGCCCCTCTATGATCTGATAGCTGGATTACATTGCCAGTCCGCTCGTTTGTTGATCTGAGGTATTTAATGTGTATTTAATCTCATATTTTTGGGAAGGGGATGAACAGGTAGGCGGCACAATGAGGATATGGCTAGTAAGGGATTAAAGATTAGCACTTGTCCCACTGGTGTTTTCAGTCATATTTTATTTCTCTTCTCTTTCACCTGCTTCTTTTTGTTTAGTTTTTTGTAATTGTAATTTGTCTGCTAAATATTCATGCAGTGTTTTGTCCGTGACAGCCTCACAATCTCCTGGGCTTTCTTGCCGAGTGACGAAGACTATTCTCTCTATTTGTATCTTTCCGTCTCTCTATGTTTCCCTCAGTCAGACTCCCCATCTCTGTATAAAGATCTCAACAAGGTTTCTCACGGCTTTCTTTTATGTGATGTCCTTGTCATGTGAAAACCATCTTAAAAACACTCGTATACAGTATGTGCATATTTAAACATATAACGTATAGCGGATGCAATATGGGGAAGATAACATCAAAACAGAGACTTGCAAGACTCTTGTGTTCTCTTTAAGTGACAAGGTGTTCAAATAGGCTATTGTCAGTTTCCCTTGAGGCCATTCCAGCTTTTGTTGTCTATCAATGTCGAAACTCCTTCACCTCTAACAAACTGACACGAACACACACTCATAATCTTTTAGATACCCTCGATTGCCCACCTCTACCTATGAGCAACTTTGTCTACAGAGGGCAATATGTAGACTAGCAAGGGCGCAGGATGTAGTGGGGATAAAAACAATGTGCAGCCCCACTTTATGCCACTGGCCTGATTTGGGTGTCATAGCTGGTGTGATCCCATACTTTATATTTTTATACTGATTATTTGTATTGTAAAGGTGCATTTTCCATATAAATATTGTACTCTAGGCTGTTTGGCTCTTTTCCAAAAACACTCAAACTACTTGGACTTTACAGGAGTACTATAAATATACCCATTGAGTTTGAAGAAGCCACTATGTTTCTCACTTGATATTGCTGTCATTTCGCCCTCCCTCACACATAAGCATGCACACACTCATGCACATACATGCGCACACCATCTACTTAATTGAGGAGAAAGTGGTCCAGCGGGACTGGATGGGAGGTGTGTGCGCATGAGCTGGAGAGTGTAGCCTTGCGGGATGAACCGTTTGACACATGAGAAGACCCAGAGAAAACAAGCTGTCTGTGGGTTAATTACTACTCCCCTTTGCAGTTAATAAATACATTTCTGATCAAGCACATCAAAAAGGTCCGCCATTAATTTCTCCTGCTGCCCCCCTTTCTCTGGAGCACGTTAGCCTGTGTATAGAGCGCTCAAGTGTTTCATTGCAATTTGATTTCTTTTAAAACACTTCGCAGTGTGTACTGACTAATTATAGATACATCAAAGAGAAGCTAACTGCCTTTGAATGAGAGTGTGAGAGAGAGGCTAGCGCTGCAGGGGGAAGGCTGCTTGCTCTTTCTCTGCCTCACCCCCACCTTTATCGCCCTTTTCCCCTCTCTATCATTCTTCTGCTATCATAGAATCTATACATCTTTCTCAGTTTAGTTGTTTCTGTTCTATCCTTCTCTCTAGTGCTTCCTTCCCCTCTGACATCTGCTTTCATGCTTGGCCAGAATGCTCCTCCTTTTCTGTCTCTTTCAGCTGTATAGTTTTAAAGTGAGTAGTCATGCTACTACCAATATCCCAATATTCCCTTAAAATTCTAAAGGATTGTTTGATGGCTTTGGACTGTGTCTCTCTCAGCGATATCTCAACACACAAATGGACCATGCTCCTCTAGCTTCCACGTAGGCAGTAACCTTCCTTGACCTGAGGACAAAATCTCAACCCAGATCAAACCAGAGAGAGTGTGAGGGACCAAGGGGATAGAACCACAGAGAAAGTGGGCCCTGCCTCCATCACTCCCTCTGCTCAGTCTTTTTATCTTTCTTCTTTGCCAGGAGTGTGTGGGGGTTGGGTGGACGTGTAAATGGTTGTGGTGGTTGATTTGAGATTTGTCTAACCCGCACTAACCTTCCCGCACATAGCGAAAAAGAAGCGTTCTTACTGGATGGGACAGGGGAGCATTATATAAGGTCTTATGTAAGAATGCATCTGTCTCCCAGTACACAAATGTGTGGGTGCCAACCAACCAGCCAGCCAGCCGCCATAACAGCCCCTCAAGAACATGTTTACAGATTTTGAGTGTCCTCTATGAACACGCCACATATATACAGTACATGCTTCCAGGATATCTTCCTTGTATACTTTGTAGAGCCATCTGTTTCAATCTATAATGAATATAAGTTTGTTTTCTCTCCGTCGTCCTTGGATCAGTGTGTGTGTGTGTGTGTGTTTGTGGCTAGGTGTCAGATGTGGGAAGAGATGCTTGAGGTGAGACAGATAGATATGGAGGATTTTTTCACTCCTTGTGGACTTCATCGCTGTACCGTTGTGTGGAGGATGAGAAATATGTAACACCGCAGGGTGAATCAGTCTGAGTCGGAGAAGTTAGTTTTACATAGCTCGGAGTTTAAAAAGTGATTACATTTCACCGCCGTGATATGGCATCCTAACACTAAATGAAAAGTTTTTGACGTTGTATGTTATGGGAAGTTTCAAAAAGAACAATAATCTATTATGTGCCTGAACATATTTTGCAAGTTGAAAACAAAGTAGGAAATTAAGTTGCACTTGTTTTCCAAACAAGCTCACTGCCATTTCTTTGTGCAGCAACTGTTTTAAATAGTTGGTCTTCATGTTTCTCACTCGTTAATCTTTATTACTATATTTATAGAACCCTTTCCCTTTTCTATCCAACAACTCACTCTGCCTAATGTCCTGTTGTCCTTATTTCCTTCATCCTTCTTATTCCCCCTCGCCCAGCCGTGGTGACCCTCAGGGCAGCAGTGGTGCCAACTAGTCCCTCCGTGCATCTACGAAAATACACAAATGTAAATAAAGGAATGCATGATATTAGACATTGTCATTGTGCCTGATCCCCATACTTATACCACTATAGATATCTAAATGTGGTGTTTTTGACCATAAACACATAGCGCACAGTTCAGACATACACATTTATAGCAGCACTAATGTTCTGCAATACATACTGTACATGCTTCCTTTTTTATTTTGTAATATACATGTTGGTTAAAGATGCTTACCGGTGGTTTCAATAAGCGTAGACATTGGAGCTACTTAAATTTACAATTGTAGGAATAAGTGACTTTTAGAAGTATTTTCACCAAAGTAAATCTTTGGCATTTTGCAATTTCTAATTCTTAAAGTGGCCTAGCT